AAGTAAAAAAGCTGTGAATTGAAGGATATGTTTTGGAGCTTTCTGAAGAGGAATGTTCCTATTCCATGATCCAAAATAAATTAGTAATGAAATGCTTCATATTAAAATTCCGAAGTGCAAAATAAGCAACATTATTAATCGGAAAGAGAAGAATCGTCCATCATTACTTCTGCATGGAAGGAAGACTCCATATCGTTGATAATAAGAGAAAATCCGCCTGCACAGAAATCAGTTGCAAAGTCGTGCATCTGCAGCAAAAGTAAATAAAATAATAAATCGAGTTTTCAACTTTAAAAAACCTATAAAACATAATGTTCACCAGCTTTTGCTGAGGCTCAAAACAATTTATAGAACCCTGTATGAAAACTATTTAGCAAGAAATAAATGGAAATATATTATGATCTTTAATGAAGAATGGCTTTACCGAAATGACTACAGTTAAAAAGTCTAGTAATTATCAGAAACGAAGAAAAAAGTGCACAAACTGGTTCCGTCAGTGCAAAAAAAAAATTAGTTTATTATATTAAGTTTTATGTATGATTCTCTCGGGAATCTCTTTCAGTGCGAAATTAAATACAACATGAGTCGAAAAACATGTTGATATCAACTCATCGTGCTATCAAGAAAAGGTTTTGCGTCAGACATTTGCAAAAGAAATATCATTTCTTCATTCCAATGACTTTCAAAGAGCGAAACTTTGTCATGACAAATCAACAAGTCATACTTCGAAAAGTACCACTACGTTCCGAGGACAAATGAAGACTGATATAGGTATTGAGTATATACCTTTTCAACGTGTTCCTGCAAAGTCTCCTGGTGTTTCACCTGTTCACTATTGGGGCTTTGGCCTCTTGAAAGGAGCTGTTTATTAAGTGCAAATCCACCATGATTGATGGATTCTGGAAAGTAGTGAAGGAAGAATAGAAATCAATATCCCAGGAAATTTTGAGAAAAGCCCTTCTATTGCTAAACTCACGATGAGGATATAAAGTCCAGAAAACTATTAGATCTAATATCTTAAAAATGATCTTTACCTCTGTTACGAATTTGGTATTTAAAAAGCTAATGTTAGTTCAATTATAAATTAAATGGTTTTATTTCTCGCGCAGTGCAGCGCGTGACGAATATTAAAAGAAAGCTAAGCCGGAAAATTGAAAATACAAGAGCGCGTGCATTAAATAAATAAATATCTCTTTTTGATTTCGAGAAAGTACTGGAAAATTCTAGCGCGTGATTTAAAAATATTATAAAAGGAGGAAAACATCTCTTTGTAGTAGTTGCTTAGTTTGTTGTTGTTTAGAAAACTGCTCTTGTTGATTGTAGCGAATTCGCGGATTAGCGTTCTTTAGCTGTTTTGAATTACGTTCTATTGGACATTTGAGTAGTTAAAAGATAACTACTGTGAGATATTGTAATACTGCATGATAATTTGAGAAAATTTAAGCATTTTTGTTGTGATAATAATAAATTTTTGTTCATTTTCATCGGACTTATGCATTCATTTCATAACGAACCCGTACGCACGCAACACCTCTTAAAAGTTAATAAACGACCCGGAAATCGTTCAAAAATGTGAATACACCTTCTGTAAGACTCCGCAGTGTTAAAGCTCCGGAGATGTAGTGCTTCTTTTCTGCTATTTCCTGTTATGTGGTTTAACAGGACTGCCGCATAATGACGTTTCGACTAAAAGATGCCAGAACTTTTGTGTTAGTTGGCAATATTTAGTCAAGAAAAACATTTTTCACAAAAGTACCCTCACCGGTATAAAGATTCATTTTTAGTTCGTATATTAATTTTTGTAAAGGTACCGTCACCTTAATATCAGAAAACTGCTAGGTAAAAACTACTTTTGTTTGCTAAATTAATCCATGTAGCAAATTAAAACTCCTAAATGCCTAGCAGCGTCCCAGCATAAAAGTGCCGGCACTTTATAAAGGTTTCTTTTTCAAGTTTAAAAACTTATCTCCATAATGATGTGAATATCCTAACTCCTTGATTAAACAGTGGCCAACATAAGTTAAATTTCCTTTATATTTATTTATGCCGAGCTACCGCTATGAAAGCGCCTCTTTAAGCAGATTGGATTCATTGGTTGTGTGTTTTTCACGTAAGGGTAGCTTAATACGAAACTTTTTAAGTCAAAGACATCGTTTTTCTCAGGCAAAGGACTTCTGTGTAAAACTAAACCACATCATTGAATTTTAACTGACTGAGAAAACTAAATCCGTAAAATTATTCATCTTTTAAAACATGTAGATGTTAGCAACAAATACCCCTTCTGTAGAATTTCTTTGCTAATAAATGCTGATATTAATCAGCAATTAAATTTGAGAGAAAGCGAATGTTTCTGAATTTAACTGAAAATACGTCTTTGTATTAAGACAAACTTCGCAGACTTTGGAAAGAAAACTTTCAATTTACGTATTCTTTTAACGATGACAAGCATTTTAAATAGATAATAGCAGTTAAAAATTAAAAGTTAATTCACCTGAACAAGCTCTGTTAAAAGATAAAACCGTTAAGAAAATACATTCTATGAAAATATATACCTGAAAAAATAAGTAAAATACATTCATGAACGCTGCTTTTTATATTTTACAAAATCTTTATCCCTGAAATTAGTAGCTGTATGTTTTTGTAATATTAAAACGCTGGTGATTAAATTCCATGAGCAGTCAACTGCCTTATACCTGCTGTCATAACATTCCAAAATACATGTGGGTTTATTCCGTTGCACTAACATACATTTTATCTTCCTAACGCCTCTAATTCCATATGACTTTGGTCCACGACTCTAAAGTTTGCTTAACTTCTTAGCATTTGAAAGCACTCTAATAATTCCGTCTTGCAAATGTGCATTTCTGCGTTTATTTAACTGCTTAAGAAGTTAAAAGGATTGCACTTTCGTTTCGAATTTGTTCACGCTTTTACTGTTTTAAATTCATTTGCGTCTACTCGGTTTGACTCTTCTGCACCCTTTTAATGCTGAGGAAACGTGCTTTGTGAAATGAAAGGTAATGGTAACATATGAATCATTCAAATAAAAGATGCCGAATCACACAGCTGTTGCACTTGGTGACGCAGAAACTCGGAATGTCGTAATATTTTATTCGTTATATTTGAGGAAAACTGTTAACCGTTCTGTAGCTTATTCCTACGAATATAGCGAAGCACACTAAGGCTATCTGAAGAGGAGGAATTCGTTGATGCTCAACTTTCTAACAGAAATTGACTCGTATCCATGTTAAACATGGGGGAAATTCAAACAAATGAAGAAAACTATGGGGTTGTGATGCTTAAACTTGAACAACTGTACTGTTTAAAAATGGCTTTTAAAATGGCTAGTAATAATACTAATTAAGCCCATGAGTGTAAATTTTTTGTTTTACCAAATTTAAAGCTATTGTTTTAAAATTTCTTGCCTTGTTGTAAACGCAATAAACCTTTTCTAAGCAATAGCAAAAGCCATTCATCATGTCATAGCAAAAGCCGTTCATCATGTCGATACTCCGAAACAATTTGTCTTTTTATAATTCGCCCAAAAGGGCGTTAGCTCGAATGGGTTATTAGTCTCGAAACGGGATTTTGCGTCATCCACTATAAAAAGCGAATCACTTGTCAGAGTGTTGTCACCAAATACTATCGTCCCGTATTATCTTTAAAGAAATTTTATAATGAAGAACCTGCATGTATGTAGTATGTTCTTCACATTGTGAAAAACCGACGCTACCTAGAGCTATTATGTTTTGAATAATGTTGTCCTTCCCCCGAACATGTGCACTCGAAAGTCGAAATTTTGACTTTTGAATTTTATTTTATATTCTGTAAATTTTTAATTAACAAACTCAACAGTATGAAAAATGTCAACACTGTACGGAATAAAATATTTTTCTCTCCAGCTCTCGAGACCGTTTGTCGGAAACTCTAAACATGCACTGTTTATATATATATATAGTGATTTTCTTGTTGAATTGAAATTTCTATGACTAAGTTTCTATGAACGTGATATTTGATAAATTAAGTTAACATGCAAAACGTTAAACGTTAATAAAAAAGACACAAGAAAAATGTACCCTTATATGATGAACTCTGAAAAAGATAGAAAAACTATGCCAATACTTAACATTGCATCGGGAATTCTTAACGTATGCTGCTATGATGCTTTTAAAAGTTTTGTAATTTTGATGTTGAACGTTGATGGCGTAAGTGCTAAAAAATTTGTGCTTAATAATCAAACTAGCAGAAGTGAGTGCAACAGCAGCCTGGTAGATTACGACCGTAGCGAGAGCGTAAAAGACGTTAACAAATCGTTTTGGGCGATCGTTAAAATCTGAACTTTTTCAGATTTATTTTTAAGTTTCTATGTGTTAACTTTATTTATTAAATATCTCATTTTTTGCACTTATGCCATGTAAAATTCAATTCAACAGCAAAATCGCAAAATATTTAAAAACAGCATACCTTTCGAATTCCCGATAGACATTCTCGCGCTTTGGAGATAAAAATGTTTTATTTCGTGCAATTTTGCCACTTCTCGCTTTCAAATCATTAAATTTGTTAATCAAAAATGCATTTTAAAGTTTAACAAGTATGGAATAAATAATAAAGCAAATCCAAATTCAAAATTCGGGCATTCAACTACATATGTTCTGGAGGAGCACTACGTTATTCAAAATTGGATGGCTCTAGGTACCGTCGTTTCGTGAGAGTGCGAGGAACATACATACATACATGCGGAATTTTCATTATTTAATTTCTTTAAAAATAATATTTGTTGGCGACAATTTGAAATAAGAGTTGCCATTGCCTAAGTGTCTTTGCCTAATGATATAAATAACAACAGTTTTAAAAAAAAATTGTTATGTCTAAGACATTATTTCTCTAGCTTGTATAAAGCAGGATAAATCTTAACGCTGTATAAAAATTGGCTGTACGGTACTTTGACTTCCAAGATGTTTTACAAATAACATTTCATCAAATATTTTCTCCCATTTCAGGTTTTCTTGGATATTGTGTCTTTCCTGTTGGATTCGCCTCAGCTGATTCAGAAGCAGTCCGTAAGTAAGGAGAATTTTCTGCTTCGTAAACACAAAATCTTTCACGCTTTTGTGGAGAAGGGGTATTACATAGGGGCCATTCGCAAGCTGCATCGGCTTACTACACTAGCCTTCCTAAATCTAGTGCGTTCCAACTGTAAGTCTAAACAGATTTTTTTAAATACCAGGTAATATTATATCAAGCCTAAGAATAAAAGCCTTTTTATAACATGTCAATGCTAGTAAAATTCCTCTAAATAACACAAATCTGTTTCTCATGAGGACACTTTATACATTTGCAATGAGTGGTATTACATCGAAGGGTAAAGCACTGGCACAGTATCGAAACTGAAGACTGGAAAAGGGGTGCGGGATGAAACTGAAGAGTGAAATATTGTTTCAGTGTCAGACTGAAGAATGAAAATCTGAAATACAATCCAGCTGTTAAAATGAAAAATTGATGGAACATCGGAGTAAAAGGAAAATCTCCTACAGAACAAGATTGATGCAAAATCAGACTGAGGCATGTAAAACTGATAGAATTTCAGGCTGAGGAGTGAAACATTAGTTCAGATTAAAACTGAGGAAGGAAATATGGATGCAATATCAGACTCAAAAATGAAACTCTAGTATAGTAAAAGATTGCTGCGTGAACATTTGATGCAGTATCAGATTGAAACGTGGAACGAACGGCGCAATATCAGATTCTTTAAACTAAACAATAACTAAAGTCAGTGTACGTTCAAATCGAAACTAGCCCTAAAGTTCAAGGAAACGTCCAAATGGCTCCGCAAAGTTTATTAAAAATGTAAAAGTCTCCATTGAGAAACTGTAACATAAAAGCTTCATTTACTAGAAATCATTTGAATAAATATTAGTAGATCAACGGAGACTGTTAAATTTTACATCTATTCAATTTTATACAATTTAGTTAAAATCTTATTTTGATTTCAAATTTAGAATCAGGAAATAAATTTATACTACTCAGTCGGTAACTATTTTGGTTCCATAACCCTAACAAAAATAAATAAAAAGAAGTAAAATATTTTTTACTTGCCAGTAGCAATTTCGAATTATGTTCTTCATAAGTCTTTTCTTAAAATCTGATCAACGATTGCCTTCTTTATTTTATGTTTTAATTTTATTGAAACTGTAGCAACGTGGAAACTTAAGCACTAAAAAAGGCGTAGTGATTGCACAGAACTAAAATAGGAGTTGAGATTCTTAAAAATCTGAACTGTTTCACAGATTGTTTCTTTTATTTTATGTTTTTAGTTTTATTGAAACTGAAGCGAGGTGTAAGATTACGAGTATAGAGATTGCACATATTTTCCTTTTCTAATGTTAGGTATTTAGAGAACCTATCTCTAGTTCGTCGAATACAATTATCTTGACTGTCTCATTGATCTCACAGAGCACAATCCATTCAAAAAAATGAAGAGTTAATTTACCATAAATCGATAAAAAAAATTTATTTGGATCGGAAATATTGGTTCCGAAGTGAGTGAAGCAGACATTGATGTGCACTTTATGTACCACGGTACATAAGGTTCCAAAACAATACTCAGTGCAAACCAAATGCATCGAAAGTAGTTGTGAATAGGTCGTTCCGTCTTTCCTAACTTTATTTAGGAAAAGTGAAGCTTTGCGTCAACTGAAATAAAATTTCGCTACTCTCAAGGAATGCTTGCGTTTGGTATTCTGTATGCCTGGTCCAAATTATCATTCAATTTGTGCTTCAAATTTATGAAAAGAGTGAGGTTAAGAATAATAAGACTGAATGTTTAAAAGCAACAGAAAATTTTAAATTCCATTTAAATAACTGTTTTTACGGCTATTCGGTGATTTTAGAAATTTCAAATATAGCAGAATAAAGTAAAAAGGTTACGAAGGCACTTCATGTGCAAAACGACCCAATGCAAAATTCTAAGAGTGTTATAATAAAATTAGTGAAACTAAAGAAAAATACGCCTGTTTCAAGTCGATCTCAGCAACTTGCGCCTGGAAATGTTCATGATACGAGGTATGTTTTTATAATTTCTTTACATATTTTTTAAGCAATGCGTGTAGTTTTCTAATAAAAATTAGCTTGTAAAAGAAATTTTTAACCCATTTGCATGAGTCTATGGGATCACAGCTTCAATGTCATCTAAAGCTATTGTGATAACCGTTGCTTTCATGCCTTGCATAGAGAATGAAAAACTCTTTTCTGTTTGGTTATTTTACATCTCAGTTTCGTATGATATTTATCTTTTATATGCGTTATGTTTATAAATTTCATTATCAAGGTTACACAGTAAATCAATAGATCTGTCATAATAGCACTTATTATGACATTTAGACGTATCTAACATTGACATAGCTAACATTTCGATTCTGATTTAAACTGGTGATAATTGTTTTGTATCGTAAACGTTTTCTATGCTTGTATAGTGAAATTTGAAACGCTGGAACCTGTAGCATCTGTATAGAAACTGTGGCATCCATAAGCATTTAAAATTTTTATGACCTCCTTTACCTACCAATGTACGTGAGTTAAAGTTAAGGATTATTGTTGCTGTGAATCACATTATACTGAATATGTGGGCCCAGGTTGTTAGAGGAATTATACTTCCATTTAGACTTCTATCAACCGCCCTATTTGGTTTAAACATTATTGACTGCCGTATCGTTGGTCCCGCATTCAAATTCCAGAGAAGGCTTGGATCAGTAGTCTCAAATTCAAATTGCACGTGGGTCGAATACTCGATGTCAAAGCAACTAACGGGCCAGAACAATTTTTAACAAATTTAAAAATTAAATTCTACTTACTGAATATTTATCAAAACATACATTTCTCTGTGTACATTTTAGTTTGAATGGATTATTATCATTTTTATTGTTTAATAATGATAATAATCATAACACAAAAAGGAAAATATTTATTTTCTCTCTGAAGTCTATAAGTTGTACCTAAGAAATTTCTATTGGCTCTATTTTGTAGTTCAAATGTATTGATAGATAATTTTAAATTTTTAGACTGATATTTATTTAAGGCATTTTCAATATATTTATATAGCCACTAAATAACTTACTTTTAACCTTAACGAAAAACTTCAGAATACTGAAATGTCATCATCTGTCGGCTGGCAAACTAAATTTACTAACTGAACCAACGTGGGAATTCTCTCTCAGGGGCTTAATCAGGTGCCTGGTGTACAAGCAAACAGTGACAGAGACATAGCCTCAATCTATTCATTCTATCTTTTCCCTAAACAATGCTATTGCACATGAACTCAGTATGTCTCCAAAACTATAAGCACAGTATTTGTAAACAAATACGTAATAGAAATATATTCGCGAGCTGCATACAGTTGCCTCAGAAACAGCGTGCTGCCCATGTGTTGAGAGTTTGAGACCACTGGCTTGGATATTTATCAGTGTATAGTGTCTTTGCTCAAATAATGACGAGTGAATACAAATAAATGACGAGGTGAAAGTCCTCTGCAGTGGTTTGGTTAGAGCAAGACCTTCGGATCCGTTCCCTTAGATATTCTCCTCCAAAATTGGAACCGAGCTGGAAATAAGTCGTACTATCGCCTATGAACAGGCGCGTAGCATCTTCGGCCAACGTAGGCATCTTAGGCCCGTAGCAGCAACAGATGTAATCCTGCTCAATTCGTGGATTTGTCCTAATGCCGCTGTCAGGAAAATGAGAAATTAATCTGTATATTTGCTGTTGTTCTGCGAAAATGAAAAAGAAAATTATTCTGCTTCAAAAATCGGTAATCATTTTTAAACATCCACTGCATTGAATTCTTTTGAACTATTATTCAAGAGAGGATACAATAAAGTCTCTTGTTTTATGTTCTGTAATATAAATTTTACTAACGAAGTAAATAACTTCTTAAATGGTGTTCCATGACGTGAATTTCGCTAAAGTAAACCTATATTGAATAACAATCATTGCATTTAATTTTCACAATCAGTGTAGTTATTTAAAATTAAAATGATAGCTTCTGTCCAACTATTAATATTCAAAACTTAATGAGGAGAAATAAACGTTATAATAAATTAGAAAAGTTTTAGTAGTTTTTGAGAAATCCTGAATTTTAATATACATAATATGTAATTACCGTTAACCTTGTTACCAGTTTATCTAAATAATAGGTCATTGCTCTTAATAGGTCAAATTTCTTTAGCTCTGGAACAGCATTTCCATGTAATATCAGCTCGTTATTGAATCATTTAAAGATTATGACTCGAGTTATCACTTCAAATTCAAACTCACGGTGTGAATAAAATTATTCTTTTCCCAGAAGGAAAATAAATTCTATTTCGTTTGACCTTTCTTTGAGACTGCAGCTCTATTCCTATCCCTTTTATAAATCTGTCCAATAGTGAGTTAACTTTAGCAAAAAAAAAAAAAAGAAAAATAAATGATAACTATCCATCGTCACCTATCTATCGTTATCCATCGTCATCACCACCTGTTTCTCCATTTCCATTCCAGCTCCTATCGTATGGCTTTAAGCAGGGGAAAAATTGTTTCTAGATTTTTACCACTGATTTTCAGATTCTCGATGGATTATCTGAAATGTGGCTAACATGTTTTTGATTGCAAAAGGAAATTTAGTGATAAAGGAACTTGTAAAAGCAGTTGCAAAGAAATTTCTCAAAAAAGGATATTTTGGTCTGGGTTTAATCTGAGGCTTTTTTTTTTGGGGGGGGGGGGGGTTGTTTTTAGTTCCTTTTATAAGAAAGTTAACTGAAAGGAAAACCCGGGCTTCATGGCAGTTCCATAGTATAACATTAACACATTCACGAAAAAGGAGTTATTTAGTAATAAGTAAAGGAAGAAATTCAAATGAAAAAATTAGTACAAATAAGAGAAAAATGCCATTTATCGTGAGTTTCGTTAGAATTTAATTTTATCAGAGCTCTGTTAATGTGAACCCAGCCGAACTTGGGCTAGAAACTTCACGCAAAAGCTGGAATGTTTCATCGCAAGAAGATAAGTCGAACATTGAACAAGTAATAATCAATGAAGAATGAATTCCAAGCCTCTGAATATAATAGAATGAAAGCTAAGTTCATTAACTAGATACTGCATGCTTCCGCTTGAGGAACCACAACATCTGCTGCCTTAACCACGGAAAGAAGGCTTTGACAAAGCTGGACTGAACTCATATCAAATTGTTATCAACATTTTGCTCTTTTGTGCTAATTTTACCTTGAATCTTTTTATTTGTTTATAATGTCAATAGTATACGAGATATCACTAAAATCCTCCATTGAACAAAAAAAAGTGTTAGTGATTCAGTTTGAAACATACGCGGTCACCGAAGGCAGACGCGGTCAAAACTCCATATTAAAAATGCGTAGCATCAGACCTTTCAAGAGGCTGATTAAAAAGATAAAGTTTTTGATAAGCTATAAAATCTATTCAAGCTGAACACTAAACTTCTTTTCTCAATTCCCGCTAAACGCTCTTAGTTTTCTTCCAGAAGAGAAGGATATCCCTCAGATTTCGTATAGCTTCCGTCAAAATCTTTAAACAGCTACTAAAATAAATTCTATAACTGTCGTTCTTAAGCTCTGTTATGCGGTAAAATGTTTAGGGCTAATATATGAGAATTCAGAATTGCTAAATCTAATAATGAGCGGGTAATTTGTAAATACCGCTCTTAAGTAATTACTCATAACAAAGAGGCGAAAAGAGTAAAGATTTAATGTGTGTACAAGTTCTCCATTTTTATTTTCCTAATTCTAAACTATTCTGTAGCTGAAACTACACTGTATTTTTTTTATTTTACTTATTTCTATTTTTTTATTTTACTTATTTTTATTTATTTTACTTTTTTGTATCTTTTCCTTCTGATTATCCCTATGTGTAATTTATAAATGCAAAATTGAATAGCTATATATATAATAATGTGCACGCTTTCTGTATACACATTTCTAGGGATTACGTGAAGTATAAAAGTTGAGAAATTCTGTTCTAGGATTTTTCATAAATCGCCAACATTGGTGATATTTTTCAAGTGTAACGAAGGCTGTGCGTAGCTGAAAATCCTATGAGGATTACATCGCAGCTGTTTACCAGCTTTCAACGTTTATATACGCAAAATTTCACTGAATGCAAAATAATAAAATAAGAGTCAAATAAGTAAAATAATAGTCATAGATGCACAATTTAAAGTGCAAAAAAAAATTATGCAAGTTTACAATAACAGAAAATACAAAAGAAACATAATTATGTAAAGTTTAAACAAATATTTGTACTAATTTGCAACGCTGCATACATTAACTTTTTCTTACACATGATTACATCCGAAAAAATTATTATTTTGAACTTTTGAATAGGCTTCCGTAGACTTCACGAAATCTTTTGCTCAAAAATTTCCTGTTACGCAAAAAATAGTTAGCGATCATTGACAATTAAAGTGGCAACATACTCTTGAAATTACGTCAAATAATTTTTTGGCATCAGTCAATTTTTGGCATCAGTTTTTTGGCATTCTCTCACATTTTCAAAACAAATAAATAACTGTCTAAAAATGATGCACGGCTGCTCATTTTTTTAAGAAAAAAGGCAATAAACTAGATGGATGATAATAGATATTTCAACGCTTAATAAAGTCTCTCGCGGGTAAAAAGCATATAAACAACAAAAAAAGGCTATTGCTGTTGTTTTATGAAATAAAATAACGTGATAAGCAATTTCAGTGGGGTTTGGGAAGTTTTAATAACGATGGGAAAACGGTGGATGGTGCCTAAATTAAAATAATTAATTACAGTATTAATTATTTATTTTAGAAGCCATTGAAAAAATATTACTATGTGTTTGTGATGAAAATGTGTTTCATAAGGGAAAGGAAAAGAAGATTAAAAAAACTGCATTTTAGCGAATAAAACGGGGTTTCAACTTGCTGTTTTATTGACTTCTGCTATTTTTGTGAAACATTTGCATTAAAGTAAATGAGAATTTTATCAAGTGATGCATAAAAAGAAAAATTTCATTAACATAAATATAAAGCAAAAAATGTAAATATTAAATTTCAGTAACATTTATTAATAAATTTTTACGAACAGTAAATTTTCCTGCTTAACAAATTGTAACGATTACGTTACAGGCAATGCTTCATTGCATTGTCAATGTCGCGGCCATATTAAAAAATACAATAAAATATCTACTTCTACTTCCACTCCTAGAAAGAACTCATAAAACCATGTGCATGAAAGCGAGCGTTTTCGCAGAGCTACTAGCTTTCAAAGAAATTTCGGTCTGCTGTTGTCACATCCTGTATTGATATCGATAATCTCATGAAAGCACACAGGAGAGGGAAATGTTTGCATTTATCAATAGTCATATACAGGAGTAATTGTTTTCTGTTTTTGCCTATCGCCATCTTAATTTTTACCGAGACACACTACGAGATGGCAACGGAAAATCTCATATTTTGTTTTTCCTTTTGCCACCAACTACACATGGGAGCCCCAACTGATGAATTTGTGTGTCCAGAATTTAAGCAGACACGCCGGTTGTGAACGTATGCTCTATGTTCGAGATCTAAAAGTCTACTCTTTGACATGAAAGCTACGTACATCTTATTGTTGTTGAGGCTAATCTGATTAGTCTGACCTACTCAGGACAAGCCCACGAATTTTTCTCATGGTAAGAAGTGCAAGATTACTTCTGTCGTTGGCATGACCCTTGAGCATCTTATAGGTAACACTGCGACTTTGCCCATTTCGGCTCCAATTTTAAATGAGAGTACTCCAAGAGGGGGTCTGAGGGTTTAAACACCCTTCTTTCCCTACCCCGAAACCTCTCTAGAAGACTTTATCTTGAGAGTCCCATATTCCACAGACACTATATATTTCCATACATCCAGGCCTTCTCCAGGATTTGAATCCGGATCCTTCGGTACTGCAGTCAGCTCCAGCGTATACCGTCTGGTATGTATGTTAACCACCCTATCAATAAGGCAACTAAAAATTTCTTGATGTTTATCAACAAAATTACTTATCTGTTATTATCCACTAAAGCAATAAATGTAGCAGAAAAGGGGGAATCTCTTATTTCCTTATCATTTTGTGACTTCTGTTTCCTATTTGCTACATTCTATGTTATTTTTAGCCATTATTCAGCATTTTCTATGAACAACTACTTTATGACGCGCAGTCAATATGCAAGCTAGTTAGATGTTCGTGTACGCCATTTATTTATATGATTACAAAAGAAATAGTTTCACTAATTTTAAAAAGAAAACTTGTCAAAATAATGTATGACAAAAAATGTATGACATAAAATATAATGTATGACAAAAAAGGAGATGCAGCAAAACTGTTTACTCATGATAAAGCCTCTGTTTTATTCCAAGAATTAAAATAGATTCCTGCATTTCAAAATAAAGGGAATGCTTTTTAATAATTAAAAAAGCGTATTTTAGTCCGAAGAATTTATATAACGCAAAAAACACTTTAAGAAGCATACATTGTGTAATAAAATACTGAGTCAAGATAAATTAATGTTTCCTGACATCCAATAAGAATTATAAATGATAGATCACCCTCATACCTGTAATTAACTGAATGCACTCAATGATACTTGAGATAAGTAATATCTTTTTCTTTCTCTCTAGCATGTAATCAAGCTCCATCAAGAAATTCTAAGCCACGGACTTTTGCATGGCTCTTCTGTAACTGGAGATACCTTCCACATGTTTCAAAGATCTGCATTAGGTATGACGTTTCTCATTTATTATAACCTAGAGTAAACAAGAGCTGAATAATTAGATAAAAGATAAGATATAAAAGAGCAAAAATATATGTAAGGCACATGGATATTCCATTATTGCCGGGTTTTTCTTCCAAGGTTTATATTTCAACATAAGAATAACAGGAAATTGTGGGGAAACATTATTCTGGTGACTTTCCTGTACGCCTATTAAATTAGTATATACATTTTTGCTATGCTTTAAATTTGTTCGAATCGGAATTGTAAAATTTTTACAATCTTAGATCCCTTAAATCCTTCATATAAAAATGATATGAAGAAAATCCCTTTTACTTAATATTAGGAAGTTTTAATTAGACCAAGATTTGAAGCTTAAGATTTGATTAAAAATAACTTAGGAACGTAAATTTTAGCTATATTTATTAAGAAAACATAAATGAAATTTAAGGAATAAAGTGTTAAAACTCTTGTATTTTGAAGTTCATTTTCTCAAATAAAAAAAAATCTGTTGTGGCCACCACATGACTTATTTGTACGGCCTATTAACTTATACACATTTTTTTCTTTATTTAAACTCATTTCCTCGGATTATTAACTAAATTAACCGATGCTCAAGGCAAGTTTAAAATGACATAAAAAGTAGTCACAAATTTGAAATTAAATATCTTGGTCAATTTTTGTTGAGCGAGAGTCAAACTTCTTGTATTAATTTTCTCGTAACGAATGTAAAATTTTCCCAAATGTAAGTGTAAAAACCGAGAGATAGCATTAAAAGTTAGATTTCGTTATTAGACAAAAATTAATTTTGTTTGGAATCTGAAATTGCCCAAACATGAAGATTTTCGTCATTTAAAACACTTCTGTAACTGGATATGTTTATGACTAACGATTGCGAAAATAAAGGTGGGATAAGAACTTTTAAGCCCTATAAGAGGGGTGTTTGGGTACTTTTGCTACTGGCGAATGCAATAAATAAAAGACGTGGACAACTAGATGTTATAGCAGTCCCATGTACAAAATTTCTACGTTCTACAGCTAATCGTTTTCGAGTTACCCGAGAGACGTTAGTACGTACAGCCATCATGAAAGAAATCCATTTTATGATCCGTTTGGCGATAAAACCCCGTCTGCCCATATGTACAGACGTCACGCAAAACAAAATAGTGAAAATGAATTCTGAAAGGAGCCAAAATGGATGCTTCTGTTGAAATCTGATAACCAAAATTTTTCGCTATTACAAACATTCCTTTACGTCGCTCAAAGAAGTAAAAATGAAATGTTCAGTTTTACAGAATATCGATTTTTTAATTAATAAAATGAACTCAGAACTCTTAAATTTCAAATTAATTTCTGTATTTCTGAACGGTAAGAACGCTTAGTCGGGATGTTTTAGAACTTTATTTAGAACTGATTAATATGTTGAGAAATGTTACATTGAATTGAGTTCTAATTCGAATATTTTCTGTTTCAATTTTTTATATTCAGAGTGTCCCTTTTTTATATATACGCGGTAATGCATTAAAATTGCCATCTTTTGTTCTAAAAGCTTTAATAATTTAATTAACAAATTCAAAGTAACCTTTTCATGTATGTTACTAACCGTTTAGGCGGTCAGCCACCTGAAATAGTTGTCATAAAAAAGAAATATGTATACACTGAAGAACCAAAACATTATGACCACCTATTCAATAACACGTTGCGCGACGTTTGGGCTGCAAAACTGCTGCAACTCGTCTTGGCATAGATGCCTCAAGTTTTCGGTAGCTGACCGGAGACAGGTTGTACGAAATGCCTAAGCAGTGGTCATACAAAGTCGAGGTATTTCGACATAGTGATGTTTGAGCTCTGAACTGCCACTCCATAACATCCCAAATGTAGTCTATCTGGTTGAGATCCGGTGAGTTAGGTGTCCAGGATATTAATTGGAATTCATCCTTATGCTCCCCGAAATCCTCCAACAAAATTCGAGCCTTGTGACATAGGGTGGTGTCCTGCTGGAAGATTCCATTTACATTTGCGAAGACAGCCGCCATGTGAGAGTGCAACTGATCCGAAATTTTATTCAGATAATCCCCAGTTTTTACGGTCTTTTTTTCCACCGACAGCGAGGCAACCGATCTACGGAGCAGTTAGCATATCGGCCAGATATCCCCTCTGACGGAACTAACTTGGTCATAAACGTAAACATGTTCATAGTGGCACTACTAGCGCCACACTTAAGAGCTTTAGCAAGAAATTTGAAAGCCATTTTCCTGATGTGTAAATATGACTACCAAATTTTGTTTATCTAGCACAACCCCTTCTTAGTGTCAAGATTTTTTTTCCTTCAATGTATTATATATAGATATATATAATATATATATATATATATTTCGTCAGTGCATTATATAGCAACACCTATGCATCCAGCCTTCGTCTGGCTTTTAAATGTACCGTAAAAATGCCTAAAGGAACACCAGACATTAAATTTAAAACTTGCACAGAATTTTACTCTGAAGAACTACTTTATCAAAACAAATTTCAATAAAATGTATCACATATTAAAAAAAGTACAATGAAATAAGCAATTGCCCTTAATACAAATATTAATTATCCTAATAAATAAATTAACCAACTTCCCGTTGCAAAATCTTAAGAATTCAAAATGGTTTAAAGGAAGTTAAGAACTTTGTTTCCTAAAACAAATCATACAAAACTTTTTTAAACTTATAATTAGAATTATATATAATTAAAACATAATATAAAAAATTACAATGAAATAAGCAATAAATCTCATATATTCAAAAGAAAACAGTCAGCAGTCCAGTATCCAAAGCAATGAATGAAAATCTATTGCCAAAAACACAGTTCTAAAAAAATTAAACTATCATCAGAAAGTAATAACCAATCAAAATTGTTTTTTGCGGATGACATAATTCAAAATATACAAAGCTCCTTGCCGTTAGTTAATAAATAGAAAGAAAAGAAAAATTCAGAATGGAAATTCCTTTTTTGTGCCTCGCGAGACACATGCGCGTCAGAATAAGAAGATTGTGATGTGCATGTTGCCTGTCCGAAAATTAAAAGAAAATAAGCAGCATGAAATAAACAATACCCTTAATATAAATATTAATTATCGTAATAAATAAATTAGCTAGGTCCCGTTGCAAAAAACATTATACTAAATTTTAAGTATCTTAAAAACAGTGAAATAAGTAATAAATATTTTATCTCATATTTTCAATAGTCAGCAGGCCAGTATACAAAGCATTGAATAAAAAACTATTGCCAAAACCACATTTCTAAAAAGAATGAAACTATTCAAAGTGATATGATTTCATCAAAAAAGATTTTAAAAAAAAATCTGATTGGAATTTTGAAAAAATCGCTTAGAGGTGCACTGGCTCTTGTCTAGATGCACCCTAAGTATCAAATTTCGTAGCCCTGGGTCTATTAGCTTACGCGCAGCACGAACGAAAGACGTACACACAGAAACAGACTCTTTCTTTTATTATACTAAAGACGAACGAAAGACACAGACAGACTCTTTCTTTTATTACATGTAGAGATTCCGTCAGTGTATATATCTATCATTATTTTATCTAATAATTTAAAGCAAATTTTATACCTTGTAAATTGTGTAGAGTACAGACATTAATTTATTTTGAAGCAAGAAAATATGAAAAATGAGCAATGTCCTCGCCGGGGCTCGAATCTAGTTTCTCGAATACGCGCCGAGTGCGCTACCGTTACACCACGAAGGCATGCACAAAAGATGGAGAGAGTACCTTATTATACTCCCCCTTTTAAAGGACGACAGAGGATTAGGGAACACAGTCGCAAAATTCTGGTGGTGAAGCATCATCATCCACCACCTTTTATATTAATTCGGACGCCATTTGTAGAGGTGGCACTTTTTATTTTTGAAGGTGCTAAAAACCGTTTGATTAGTTTTGAGCGTACAGAAAAAAAAAATCTGAAAGGTTTCAGATTTTAAATTACATCCAAAGGGGCGTTTTTTAACGTTTTGTGTGTTACCTTCATTTATTAAATATCACGTTCTTTGCACTCAAACCATAAAATTCAGTTCAATGGCAATGTCGCAAAATAATTTTAAGATGAGCTTATCTTTACGATACACAGTTTCGTGCGCTGGAGATAAAAAGGTTCTCCCCATAGAGTGTTGCCATTGCCCGCTTTTAAATCGTTGAGTTTGTTACTCAAAAATTCTTTAAAGTTCGATCATAAAACATTTGGGCTTCCACATGCCTATATTCGCAGGAGGATTACGTCATTCAAAATCCGATGGCTCTGTACCGTTGTTTTATCACAATGCGAGAAATAAACATACATTTATGCAGATTTTTCATTATTTAATTTCTTCAAATATAATACAGGACTCTAACATTTGGTGGCAACAGTTTAAAAAGTGAAACGGACATTTATAGTGATTCAACGCAAAAATCGCAAAACGGAAACAATAGTCTTTCAGGTACAAAGCCCCTTTGGACTAAGAAAGGTTCTACTGGGGAATCTGTGTTGTCATTCAATGGCTGACCTCCTCTTGACAAAGTAAAAATCAAAGAATCATAATACAGCCTTTATATATGTATATATAAATGCATATATGTGTGTCTGTGTGTGTCCCTTCATATGTTTTATCCCTTCACAGATTTAGCTGGTATTCTACCAGTTAATATTCATACGACTAAAAATTGGTAGCATTATTCTGGAGTAATTATAATTTCTTAGTAATCTAATAGTTTAATAGTCTTTACAGTAATTTTCCGGTTTTTTACTTCCTTGTACGAAGTAAAAAGGAAGTATTGTAATCGCGAAAAGTTTCAAGCAGCATATTTCAACGAAAATATCCATTTTGACCGCTAGCGAATGCAATTTAACGATGTTTTTGCGTGATATCTGTACGCAAGGACAGAATAAAATACTCTTTTCCTTCAAAAAAATTATAAAACTGCTTTAAAATTAATTTTGAAGAGAATTTTTCGTGGCGTCAGTACGAACGAACGTATGTACGTACGTACGTATCTCACATAACTCAAAAACGAGTAGCCTCAGAACGTTGAAATTTTGTATCTAGGACTGCTATAACATGTAGATGTGCACCTCGTATTTTGGTTGCAATCGGCCGCATCAAACGTATATAAATATATTTATGTATAAATCCACTCTGTTACCCGGCTCAGTGATCTCAATTTCTTTACTCTTATATGTTTGTAAATTGTACATTTTTTGCTTTAAAAATGATTGTATTATGTTGTTTTTATCTTCCGTTTAAGGTTTTTACGCCTTTAGTAAATCTGTATGCAATATTTTTAGACTTATCAACAATTTTAAAGTTGTCTAAGTGACGCTAAGCCTTTTTTTTATGATGGCCATTGATGTTTACATTTGAAACAGCAGAATAGTGGATTTGTTGCCAATCTAGAGAAACTTAGCTTCGCAACAACAAAGATCACGCGTTCATTTATTATTGCCAATTAAATCATGCTTAATTCTTTCTGGAATTTTTTCGAGGAAATAAGTGTTTAAGATTTACTTCGTAATTTTTAATAGAGATATTTTGAGTTTTTATGCATTTTTGCCTTCTCGCGAAGTGAGAACTGAATTAATTAAATGAGAAATACTAAATCGTCTGTGAAAAACTGTTTCTTTTTTGTTTTGTTTGCTTAATTTCTTTTATACGTCATTCTAGCTTTATTATAGTATTTGAATAGAACATGTGGCAACGATTAGATAATTCTCTATTCTTTAAATTATATAAATTTTGTGCAATTTGAGTTATAATATGAACGAAATATAATACTGAAGGCGAGTCATCACTTTTGCGCATCACAAAAAGTGAGAATTTTAGCTGATTTTCGAGTTTAATAAGTCAAATTGTTTTGTCATACATATATGAAATTTTCAGTGTGTCATCTTTATACATAGATGATTATCTTTCTTTATTTATTTTACTTATAGTGTATAAGAATTTTTTTTATAAAGAAAAAACTAACTGTATTTTTCCGAAAATTTAAAATTGTACTGAAGCACCTGCGCACCAAACTGACAGTAATACAAATTTAGTTACAGTAATAATTTTTAAGTGAATCTATCGCCAGAGTGTCGCTATGGTAAACAAATACTAGAGGGAATTTTAAAGAATGCATTTATTCTATTGTGGTTTATGCGCTGTCGGCGAAATAGATTTAATTCAATCCAATAAGTTTAAATGAAATGCAAGAAAAATGAATATAATTTAATATTCCGTACAAGGAAGTCATGTGGTGTACACATCAGATTTTTTTCGGTAGTATAGAGTGTGTTTTATATCTCTGTTATTAAGTAATGAAGAATTTGTATGTATGTATGTATATTCCTCGAATTATGAAAAACTCCGGCACCCAGTGCCACCAGATTTTTGAACATACATAGTTCTCCATTCGATTATGTGCATCTGGAAGCCAGAATATTGAATTTAGTTGTTTGTTTTTTATTTACTTTCTGTTTTGCGCGAACATAATGCAGTTTTCTCTAACACACTCAGCCGTTCAAAAGCAATGTGTTGCTACCGCCCGAAATCAAATATTTTTATCTTCTACGTGCCAGAATGTTGCCATTCGGTAAAGTGTAAAATACTTACTTTTTTTCCAAATTTGATATGTCTGTTTTTGTTGATTAACAAATTAAGCAATTTGAAAGCAATACATCTCTGTTATTACTAATTACTAGCTCGATTCATTAAAATGACTACATATTTTTTTTTCTTTTTTAAATATTTTAAACGGCTGATAGCGTGAGTGACTAGTTGATTAAAATGCAGATTAATATATCAAAAATGTAAGAAGCTATAATATTCAATTTTTATGATACACAAATAAAATCAATTTAATTAAAGTGTATCAAGGAAATAAAAATGTAACTAACTTTCCACCAAGAAACGAGAATGATCATCTGAGCTGATAACTAATTTAGCAATTTAGTATTCTTGAAATAATGATTCAGATTACTGTATTTTATTTGCAAATTAATCAACAATACAAGATTTAAAGTATTTTATTATTTTTCCTTTTTGCCTTTTATTTATCCTACTTGAGGTATTATTGTATTATGCTTCCTGCGTCTTAAATACAGGCTCATTAAATTTTGCTCTAACTTTTTTGAAGTAAGCCTGTTTTAACGTAAAATGTCTATTATTTTTTCTGTGTTACAAAGATAATTTTAGGCATATTTTAGAAAACTTTCTAAGATGAAATTTTCTTGCTGGATTTAATGCTTAATAAATTACTTTATAAAAGCTGCTTATCAAGCAAATAAGACTATTCAGTTCGCCAGTTTAATATGAAGTTGGATTTCTTTCGAAACATGTTAGCCATTGGTTGCATAAGTGGTTTGGTGATTTATGTAATACAAATATGAGATTGTTTACTAAAGTATGATCCACAAAGATATCCTTCCAAGGTAAACAACCCTTCCCCTTCTTTCTCATATCAGTTACTTACAGGCCTAATATACTTGTACTTCTTCGAAGCATTTTTCCCTTCAACATCCTTGACTATAGTTACAACTTTATGACATTTGCTAAGCTAGTTTGATTCAGCTCAATAAGTTGCTGTTTTCACCATCTAATATAACTTAACTATATTCCAGATTCTGTTAGCACTATGTAAAATACTTTTAGATCTATCGACGCACAACCCAGTGAGAAACGTTTTCGAGAAACATATACTTCATAGAACTACACTCCCACTGATTGATTCTCCTTCTTCCTCTCCTACGTAGCTACAGGTCGGAACTGTTATGGTTAGAAACTTCCCATTCAAATTACTGCTAGAAGAAATGAGTTTCTCGGAAAAGGTTTTATTTTGCATCGCGTCGTGATAAAGCCTTAATGCTTATTGGATCTGGCTTAAGAACCTGCATATATTTATTAGAGATCATTTTCAGTGAATTCTCTAACTTTTCTAATTTTCTGCTATTCTCTGCTAATTAGTGGGATACTTCTTCGAAGTACCCACTAATATAGTACAAAATATAGTACAAAAATCCTGACTAGAGCCATTGAATATCTTTTTCTGCAGGCACGATTATGAATTTTCTTTTCATTCTCTCCATCTTATATGTTGAATAAACTGTTAAATGCCTGCTTCCTATCCATGTTTCTCATCATACCTATTCTTATGTTTCAGTTTTAGAAGTGGGTCAGGTACAGAATGAAGGTCAACGTATACTGAAATTTCCCAGCAGGAAATCTACACGAGATATTAAGGAGTATGCGCAACCTACTTGGCTGACAGATTCCGTGGAGTTGGATTTCAATACTTGGATCGTTGAAAATTTCCAGGAATGTAAGTGTTTCTCTGTTTAATTCCAACCAGACATCTAGCTATAAGTCAGAATGTGGTCAAACAAGCATTTCTACATTGTATCCTACTTCTCTTAGAAAAAAACCACTTAAAATCATATTAAAATTTATATGAAGTTTCCTCGCACGATACCTTAAAGATCTGGAAATCAAACAGGACTGATAAGATTTTAATTTTACCAAAAAGCGTAAAATGTTATAATATTTAATGCCTCCATTCTCAGATTCTAGCATGCCGTTTCGGGCCATATTTTAACACTTGTAGAAATCTAAAATCTAAGTTGTTACCTTCAAAATGTCATTGAATTTAAATAGAACAAAAGGTTTGTTTTCAAAATGTACTAGAAATATAATGATTTAGCAAAATAAAATTTCGAAATTCCATCACTGGTTTCTTGTATAATAATGTTATGTAGATGAAGTATTATAAAATGACCATAATTTTTAATTCAGGTATTCCTCTGAAACTGATGAAATAAGTAATTGTCCATTGCCAGAATGCATTTATGCGCATTATTGAAAAAAATCAAGGAAATAAATTTTATTGCAACTGCAGTTGATGTCATTCAAATACAACTCATGATTTTCTTATTCATTTAATAAAAAATAATAAGTAAATAATGTAAAATAAAAAAATAAGAAATTACAATGTAACAAATGAATACGTAAGTCTCTTAACCTTCAAAGCTGCAGAGTTATTAGGTTATTTCAAAGCAGGTGATGTGAAAAACTGCAATGCCCTCACCGGGACTCGAACCTGTGCCTCTTAAATACGCGCCGAGTGCGCTATCGTTAAACCACAAAGGCATGCTGGAAGGAGGAAGAAAATACCTTATAAAGTAATAGGAAAGTTATGAAAACTATTTAAGCTGTATTAATTCTAGATTAACTAACTCTTAATTGCATTCAAAAGATAATTGACAACATTTTCTTAATTAAAAATCATCTTTTTTTTTAGTAAATGACTCGATCAGCATAGCTGTAGTGTTCTACAAAAACTTTTCTGCATTTTTACCTCAAAGGTTCTTCTCGCGTCAAGCGTAAGTAAATATTATTATATATAAAAGTATCATTTGTTATTTATAAATACTTTTATAAAAGTACAAAACCTTTTTATTTAATTATGCATGCGTGAATTAATTTAAAGGTTTGTTGGAGATATGAACTAAAACTCCAATTGAAATCATCACTTACAAAAATTTAGCCTTTAACTTTAAAATCATCACTTACAAAAATATAGTCTTTAATTTTACTGCTTTAATTAGCTTATGATCAATCTAAGTCAATCTTCGGTAAGATTCTGAGTTGTAGATCTTCCTACAAGAAGATGCACTACTTCACTTTGCAAATCATACACGAGACACGTTGAATTGTCGTTTCCCAGGCAGAAATGGACTTTGAGGATATATCAAAAATAAGATTTGCGATGAGAAACATTATAATTTTGACCACTAGAAAACCAGAATCATAGAACGAAACTCCAAGCTGAAGAAATAACAGCACAAATAGATAAGCAGAAAACAAAACCATTTATTGAAGACAAAGCAGCCTCTTCTCTATATCAACTGAACAACAAATAAGTATGTAGATGAATAATTAAATAATTTATTAGCATTTAGTTAATTATCCATTAAAGCGTTTGTAGTGATGCAAGTAACAAATAGTTTCTGCCTGTTCAAATAAAAGTATTCAAAATCTAAACTAATCTAAGGTTACTTTACTGCCTTATTTATGTTTTCTGTTATATTGAGTCGGACACTTTGCAATCATTGTAGCCCTATCTCTGAAGACAAAGGGATGCAACCATAAAAAATTCTCACTAAAAATAAAACCTTAATTGACCACTTCATTGTTTTCCCGGATACAGACTCGTCGATTTGAAAAGTGTAATCAGGCATCAGCAACGAGACACTCTCGTCAAAGTTAAATGAGGCTCGGATCGTTATCCTCGAGAGGGAATTGTCACTTTGTGTTTATCCTCCCCATCCCCAGAATAGAAATTTATCGCTTTTAGGAGATTTTATCGCCAAATTGTTCATACTCTCTCCACAGCGAGGTTGTAACATTATCAGACAAATAAAAGTTCACTTAAAATAAGACATAGGAATACACTTCCAATTCCCTTTCAGCTGGCATCGCAATGGGAACTACTGCTCGTTTGAGAGCGTGCCTTTAGGGTATTATGTTTGTTAAATTTGACATAAGAGTCTATGGAAAACAAAAGAACGGTAGCGATGCTTTTAATCATCCTTGAGTGTGACAAGTAAGCGGTTCAAGTTGATTCGGTGCGAACTTCTAAACAGGTCCTTTTAGGTTGTGAAAGGTGGGAAAGAAACTCTTCTATTTTAAACTAATAAGGCCGTTTTCAGCGGTAAATTTATGTTTGGAGGGGAAAATATACCAAATATTTTAGTTTTGTTGGATAGTGAAGTGGTTAATTCACGCTGATGCTGATTTATAATAGTCTAGAGTTAAACGGCACTAGGTATTTATCGGAACAAAGAACATGAAGAATCCTAGCTGAAATTCAAATCAGTACCTTTCGATTACCAACCGCACAAACTGCCAGATAAATCCATAAGTAAGAAGGACGAATTCCGTATATTCTCTTACATTTAAAGAGCGGCTGGTAATTGAGAGAATCCAAGGCCAAATCTAGATCGTGATGAATTGTTCTGTACCATATTTTAGTGGAACGCCACTATAGAATAATAAGATATTTACCAGAGCAGGAAGCAGCAAAAATTCTAACTCGGATTCTAACTCGGACCTTCTCACTGCTAGCCGGACGTGGTACCGATTACACTAGAAAGACAAGCAGAGAAAATTCCTGTCAAACTTCTTTTAAATTTTCCACATCTTTTTCTATAATATAGTAAATGCCAGAAAAACGGAAAAGAAGTAGAATATATTTTAGAGGGCTTGAGTTTTGACTTAAAAACGTTCCACTGTAATGTACGGCATTTTTGCTTTCATTTGCAAAATTGGTAGAATCAGATATGGATATATCATCGTTTATCGATTTATTTATGCAAGATCATTTCGTTTGTTTGCACATGATCATTTGTTGTTTGTTTGGTCATTTTATCTTTTTATTCGTAAAGATCAGATTTATTTTTGTTTGAATCACTAGCAATGGTTTAATGGCTGGATAGCTAGCTGCTAACAAATGTTTTAGATCTCTCAGATCAACATTTATCGCTTTATTTATATCAGAGATTTCCTTCCACACGGTAAATGCTTTTAGCATTATTGGTTAGAGGAAGGTAATTTCAGTGTGATTAGTTCTAATCCTCTTTGGATCATTGGAGTAGACAGTGATGACAGCTTTCAGTACCAAAAACTGAGATCTAGCGTTTTTATCAAAGGGCTTATGGTGAGCCAAAGTTAAGGTAACGAAGATGCAACACACAACACAGACTGATTAGATATGGAATGGGTTAATTAATGGTGATTAATTATTTTAGAGGTTAGACTACCCATACACACTTTTTCATGAAAGGGAGATAATTATGGTAAAAGATTAAAGTGAAATGTGTACAGAAAGCTAATCAACAGATTTACTCGATAATCAGTTAACTGTTTAATTTAGAGGGGAAAATATCAATATAATAAAATTTTTCACACGTTCAGCGTATTTTAAGACACATCTATAACAAAAATTAAAAGAATAAAGGAGTGCTTTTGGGTTTGTATTCAAAAATAGAGAACACCGTAAACAGAAACCAATAGTTTGGCGTGTATTTAAAAATGCTGCACCTATAAAGTGAAAAAAAAAAAAAAAAAAAAAAAAAAAAAAAAAAGATTGTTTTTAACAAATTTCAAATTACTTTAGAAGACATTTCAGTAATTAAAACCTTATATTCGCTTTTTAAATAATCATGCCTAAAATATTATAAAAGATTGGTACATACAGTGCCAGTACGCATAATGTATTATTATAGAGAAAGGTACAAGATGGTCGTAAAAAAGCTTCCCCAATACATGAATCCAAGTTACCTATCCGCTCAGTGAATCAACTTGAAATATCGGATATCATTATTTGAAGGCATGCGCTCGAGATTGTGATGATTTAAAATAACAGAGCTTTCACGGTAATGGTTGCAGTGAAAATACTCCGAAATTTTCGAAGGACAACACCCACTTTTTCCTGCGCAAATTGATGATCGCATTAAAAAACCATACATGGCTTTGTAATGACACATGTATGATGAAAATTCCCGACGGAAAGCATTTGCAAAGAAGAGCATTGTAAAGGAACAGTTACAACACAAGAGAGGATTTGGGGGGTAACTTGGGATTACAAGTTTTTAACGTGTAAAACATTTTAATGTAGAGTCATCTCCCGCAATATTGCAGTTTCGTGGCCACCACGATCCCCCGACCTCACTCCCGTGGATTTCTGGTTCTGGGATTACCTGAAATCTAAGCTGTACATGTCAAATCCGCGAGATTTGCCAGAACTGAAAGATGCCATGAAACGTGAAGTTATACAGATTGCTCCTGCGATGTTATATTCGTCACTGTTATCAACAATCTCCCCATGGAATGCGTTATCGTCTGTGAAGGTGACAACGTTGAAAACTTGTAATCCTATAAAACCTTGTAATCCTATATTTTGTTCCCACTCCTATCATGTGTTGTCACTGGTCCTTTAAAACACTGTTTTCATGCGGATATTTTACACCAGCAGTTTTCTTCATACGTGTTTCGTTACAACGCTATTCATGGTTTATCAGTGCGCTATCAATTTAGGCAAGAACAAAATAGGTGTTGCTATTAGAAAATTTCGAATATTTTCACTGTAACCTTAACAATAAGAGCTCTATTGTTTTAAGTCATCACAATTTCGAGCGCATACCTTCAAATACCGGTATTTAAATTTCATTTCGATCATTACATACATACGTTTTTTAAGTCCATCATGTACAATTAAAAATGCTGATAAAAAATATCCGGAAGGATTTCATAAAACACCAAACTTCAATTTTTTTTTATCTGTATCCATTATATCCTCTTTCAAGTGCACCTCTCTCTGACTGTAGTTAGTTATACCACTGTTTTTTTTTTTTTTTTTTTTTTTTTTTTTTTTTTTTTTCCAAAATCGTCGAAATGTATTACAAATTCCTTTTCGTGCTCAGGATTTACCTTCAGAATTGACGCCGAATTTTTCTTTTGCTTTCATTTATTTGCTAAAATAGACCCTCTTTTGTACCGATTATGATACATCTATCCACGGGGTTTAATTAGCTCTTTGGGTAAAAGCTTCATTATCGGAGCTATCTTATAACTATACGCTCGTGGCATGTTTCCAAAGTCTGTCCTTGGGAGCAAAATCATCAGAGGGTGAAAAGCTTGTTAGTCGGTTAACGTTTTATATCTAGTAGGAAAGTAACCTCTTCGAGATTATTCCGGAAAGAGACAAAGATGGCTTAACTCACCCAGCTGTTGAAAGAGGTTGCGAAGAAACTGCACTAGTAAAATTGGGAGTAGGGAGGTTGTTACCAATTGATTTAATTTGACATGCAGCCTAGATACATTAGAATGCGTTAGATAACTCATTTCAGTGTATTACATTATTTTGCATGTGTGGAAAAACAAAAGAACTTATATAATATGCACAGACAATGACAACAATCGAGACTTCATGAACAATACTACCCAGCAGCAAGACTGCAGAATATAATTTTAGAATTATATTCTGCAGTCTATAATGCAGTGTTATAAATTAATAGTATTAAAGCTATAAAATTATAGAATACGATGTAGACATTGGAAATACAAAACTGTAACAATACAGTACCATTATACAGTGCTATTTATTTTCTTTCTCATTTAATACTTGAAACTTATTTTGTGCAGATTCTTCATTAAGCTACGCGCGCCTGTCAGGTGTTCTTAGAATTAAGAAAAAATTCTAAGAACAAAGATGAGATTTCACCTTACTTCTATTATTTACGTTTCAGCGCAATGTAACCTTGTCTACTGCTGAAGTACTAATCTTTAGAAATTCCAGTCTTTGTTTGCCCATCTTCTTCGTTTTTCCAATGTCATTCTTGGAAACTGCGGCCAAGACTCATTCATGTGAGGTGACCCATGGAATTTACTCAAGGTGACCTTTGCTCAAATAATGTCACACATCAGCTCAATATCCGTCAGATGTTATAATGATAATATTCCAATTATTCTTTTTGGAATATAAGTTCCTTTTAAAGCAATAAAATTTCGGTACTTACCCGTTGCTTATACGCGACTACTTTTCATTTCTTACTTTTTTACTGTAACCACGATCTTCGGTAATTAAATTACTGACATAATTTTTCTCGCTCGATTTGGACGATAAAATTTCTTTAAAAGAGGGGGGATACGCGAGGAAATACGGTGCAAGTGATATTTGTTATATTGAAAGATGAAGTTAGTGCCATTGCCCTGGAGCTCTTTCTTTCTACAAATATATTATTAAGTCAATACGTATCATTTATAGAATAATTACAGTACAATTGAATAATTACAGTCCTGTGGTGCAAATAAGAAATATCATCAGGGGAAAAGACTGCAAAAGAATTTCTTATTAGTAGAAAAAAATTATAAAACAATAACTGAAGTAACTGAAAGTAACATTTAGAGAATTACTATCGTCATTAACAGCTTGAGACTGATTTTTCAAAATACACAAACATTTCGAAAGTGCGGAAGTATTCTAACGCTCGCAAAGCTGATTAAGGTACTGAGCTATTTAAAAAAAAACAAAAACATTCGTATATTTTACAAATGTTGGGATTGATATCGCAATGCCAATTTTTTAATATATCATACTCACTGAAGCAAAATTTAATGTGCTTTTAAAAATTTTACTACTGATAAGCAACGTAGATTGACAAAAAATTACCGCAGATGCTTGTTATACGTTTATTTGTTTCTATATATTTTATGTCATCAAATTTCATTTCCATTGTCGATAGTCAGTCCTGTGAAACTATGCGTACAATCAGAATAATGCAAATAAATTGCATAATTCGAAATCTATATCCATTCTACAAATGTGGCTACCCTAAGGAGAAATCTTTTAATCTTTGAAAGCCAAACGGAAGATAGGTCATTATACTTAACGAAATTAAGAACCACCTCATTCCCTTGCAATTAACCCATCAACTCAAATAACTTAAATTACCAAGTTAATTTAATTTCCTTTTCAATACCAATTTACGAAATCTGTTTAATGAAGCATATTAGGAGATGTTAAAGATAAATTAGAAATAAAATGTTCATTTAATAATCCAGCTACAAAACTTTAATCCAAATGCATACGAATGTAGTTAAATAGACCGATTAAATGCATAAATACCTGCAAGCTATACATGAATCTGATGTTATCTCGAGATAATATCGTAAGCCAGAGATGCCGTTCCTATTTATTGATACTTTTTTAACTTTACAACTTTGCTGTAACGTATGTTATTCATTAAGTCTTTTTGCTACTATTAAATGTTGCTATGAATTTTAAGGCAAATATTAATTATTTAAAAGAGTGTACGAAGCGCGGATGGGTCTTCTTCAGAATTATTAAGAGTTGTTTATATTGCATGTTTTATCGTTTATTTTTGTTCTTTTTCTCCTATCAATTCAGATATGGATATGGCTCTATTTTGCATAGTGGTCTGGACATGGAATATCAACTACACTCCAGACTTGTAGCTGTGGCGATGCAGACTGGACAGAGGAGACTAGGTTCTCGTTCTTCTCGGCTGAAAGTCAAAGCTCGACTTGCTCATCTCAACCACACCGTGGTACGTACTTACCCTTGCTCCTTCTTACGAAATTTCCGAATCTTATAAGAGCTCTTAAAATGAATTCATCTTTTCAACTTTCCTTTACATAAAAATTATGATAATTACATTTAATGATACTTTGTATTGTTCAGATAAATTATTAATTTGACAATTAACAAATAATTATCTTTGCTTTTTTAGTAAAGGGTATTTTTTGAGAATCTATTTATTTTAATAAACTATTATTCTATTTGTTCATAGATCAATCTATCATAAAGTAAACAAATTAGTTTAAAATTAAATATGTTACTAAACTTAAAGGGAATTTTAATTCGCTTTTTTTAAAATTTTTTTCTGAATGTATCTTTTCCTTATGTAAATACCCAGTTGCCTAAATGGAAAAGATTTCTATCGTGATACAACTGCACGTTTATTTGAAAGTTGAGCATTTAGTTAAATAAATCTTTCCGTAAATGTTGAATATCAATTAAATATTTGAAACAAGGCGAACTGAACACAAATATAAGTTTGCAACTTTTCCTTTAAGTTTCCTGTTCTCAGATTTTAAATTATTATTGACTGAAGTATTACATAGTTATCTACGTCATTAGCGTTAGGTAAGAATCATACGACAGCGATTAATTTTGAAAATAATAACAGTTTATAAAGATTGATTGCTGTTGTTACTTATCTCACTTCTCTAACGGTAATATCATAAAAAGACCACAATTCATTGTGCAAGAAGTGCAAGAATGGGCAAGAGCCTTGGGCAACATGCGTGTGACAGTACGACTTTCCTCAGTTTCACCCTTCCCTCAAAATTTTGATGGAGAGCACCCCGGACGGACGGAGTCCGAGGGTTTCTCACCCCTCCTCCCCTACCTCCACCATGAACCCCTCTCCTACCACGACCTCCTCCCGTACCACGAACCTCTAGAGAGGACTTTCTGCTCGTTGCATATTTAGAATGATCCCATACCGCACAGACACTATACATTTATAAACATCGATGCCTCCTCCACGATTCGATACGGTAATTAGTATCCAGCAGTTCGGTACGGCAGTTAGTGTCGCTAACTGCTATGCCATTTGGGTGACTATAAAGGTTTATTACAAGCAGTTACTATTTTTAGGATGAAAAGAGGAAATAATCCAAATTAAAATAGAGAATTAAGGGGCTATTGTAAATAAAAATTAGTATTTTAAAAGATAGTGATTTATCTGGGATATATAAGTTTCATTTCTAATTTCTTTTCGCATTTTGTCTTCATTCGATCTTAATCGCGCTCTATGTGAACATTAAAATAATAATTGTTCAAAAAGGTTAAATGTATTCTTTACTTTTTATTACCGTTATGTATTTCCTAATGATCTAATTTGCATATTCACTTGATAAACGGTTTGTTCCGAAAGATTCTAGTTCATGCTACTGATATTTTTATCTGTTATGATCGAGATTTTAACCAGGAAGGTGCTTTGTATCATAAAACATAAAATTATTTTCTAAAATGAGATATATTTTCATAATTACGTTTCTACTTGTTTCTAGTATTTAATAAAATATGAAAATGCGTATCTAACCAAATTCTTTTAGATGCATTAATTCCTATATCTGTATTTTTTTTCTTAAATACGCAACTTTAATTTTTTTCTAGAACCGTCAAATTATGTGGAATATTTCTTGTGGCATTGCAGATTTTTCTCAGGGGTAAGTATATGAAATAGTTTCCTGTCTTTCATATAATCCGCAGAAGGTATAATGTTGGATTAGAAAATATAGAAAGTTTCCATAACGTATTTGATTACACTATCAAAGTCTTATGAATTAAAAGCTAAAACAATAAATAATAAGGAATGGGAATTTTTTAGAGTTTGGTTCTTTGGTGTATTCTAATTTTTTTTCCTGGGGGGGATATTTTGAAAGAAACTGTTTTTTCTTTAGAAACGGCACAAAAGAAGTACTGTACTGTTATTAAATACTGTTACTTAAAATATTATAATGCAAATTTCTGATTATTATATTCATTATACTACTATATTAAATGTAACCTTATGACGAATAAATATACAGTACAGAGCGTGCTTACACATTTTTAGAACGAGTTCGCGGCCGCTTAACTAATGTTTAAAACGTAAAAAATAGTTTTTAAAATGTTTGATCAGACAGCCGTTTTTCTGTTCTATAAATATGCATCATGATTTACATCAGGGATGTCAAACTCATAGGTACACTTGGGCCAAACAAACAAGGTTTAACTTTAGGCGTGCCGGGAAAAAAAAAAAAAAATCAATATTCATAGAAACGTAGATTTATTTCGAATAATACAATAATAAACATATATATATATATTTATATAGAAAAGAACAAGAAAAATTTAATGTTTACGTCCTGATACTTGACATCTCTTCTCTGCTATTATCTTTCCTATTTCTGGAGAAATTTTGTTTGCAGTGATAACTTTCAACGCTGACCCAAGGTGAGCATCATTAATACGGTTTCTAATAGGAGACTTATTACCTTTCATGACTGAAAATAAGGAAATTATTCTACTCAAGGTAATAATTTCCAGGACAAACAATTTCTCCAGCTTTCATTAGGCATTCCTTGATGAAATCACCGTCTGTAAAAGGCTTCGAATGTTTAGCTATCAACTCGGACAAGATGTAGCTTGCATGTACCGCCGCTTCACTTTCTTGCAATACTTTACTAAACATGGACTGTTGCTTTTTCACACCTAACTTGAGCTCTTTCAACTTTTCTTCTCTCATTAATCCTTCGTAATTGTTATATTTCGATTTGTGTTGTTCGTAATGACGTTTAATATTATATAACTTTGATACATTAATAGTATTATTACATATCAAGCAGATTATTTTATCTTTTATTTCGCAGCAAAAATATTCTAATTCCCATTTTACTTGGAATATTCTATGTTCGTCAGCGATTTTTCGTTTAATTTACTACCACTTGGTTTTGATATAGACATACTGAACACAAAGGACTGGAATTAACACGGTTAACGTTAAAAAGTTAACAAAAATTTATTCTTTTCCACAAGAGATAAATCAAAATGCTGAAATATTTCTTCAAAAATATTCTAACAATATCACAAAATGTCAAACGTTTAGCAAAATCAATTCAAAACAGAGAAACTATTCTATCTCGCAACGAAATCGCTACAAATCAATCACAGCATTAAGTAACAAACAGTTTCGCTAGAACTACACTACTACTGAGATTAGATGTTTGTTCTCGGCTTTTGTAAGCTTTATAATTAATTTCTCGAATATACTGGAAACATCTATAAATATCTGGATTTTTTGTGGATGGCAACAGCAATTACGAGATATTTATTTATTAGGTATTAAATGCAAGCGCTGTTCTATTTTTAAACCTTCCAACGCAGCTGTCTTTTCAAAAATCGTCTGCCGTTGCTAGGCAACATGAAGCAAATCTAATTACAATTCTAAATTTAAAAACTAATAAATAAATAACTATGAAATCCGTAACAATATGAATTAAGTAATAATTAATAATAAAGCAAAGTGCATGCACATGCATGCACCATATATCGTACAAAACTATGATTGGAAAACTGAGACCATGAGTTTGGCCACGTTCGGCTATCGGTGGATGCGTACTATTCTAAGTGCACGTGTCCCCCAAAAGCCGAAGGTAGCTGAACGCAAGCTACTCACACGCATTTGTAATTTAAGTAGTGTGTGTGTCAGCTCGCTGTGAGTAATCTAACAACACTGAATAAATTATCGTTAATTACTTAGGAGTAAACATTTCATTTTTTTCTTCGTCGATATGTTATTTTATTATTATATATTTTTATTTGCCGATATATTGACCGGGCCGCAAAAATATTTGTTGTGGGCCGCGAGTTTGACATCCTTGATTTACATGATAAAAGGGCTTTCCATAAAAGTTCCATGAGTACTGATTTCCATTCCTCTTCCACTGATTTCCAAAGTCCCGCGAACATGATGGAATTGCGTTGACAAAGAGCTTTTTCCAAGAAACCAGAGGCACAATTCGGGGCTTTGCAAGAATACATTGAAAAGATTATACATGCAATACCTCTATCAGTCTTTTTTTTCTCTAAGAATGCAGTGGTACTTTTCGAAGTATGAGAAGTTGCTTTATGAAGTCACTATTTAAAGTCAATGAAATAAAGGAAGGAATTTCTTCTATAAATATTGGACGTAAAACTTTGCCTTGACAGTACGTTGAGATAAATTTTAACATTTTTTCCACTCTTCCTATTTTTATTTTCTCATTGTAAAAGGCAATTATAAATCTCTTGCTAAAACTTTTTTTGCATTAAACCAACGCTTCCCGAAGGGTCGCAAGTGTTTCCATTTAACTCCTGATAAATAGTTTTCAAACAAGGTTCTAAAATTGCTCTGCCATTTTACATCTTGAGTTACATGTTTCTGCGAAAGCTAGTGACCATTACGTTTTTTGCATTTTATAAGTTGCTAATCTTTTTTATCATTTTATTTATTGTTGCTACAGATGTAAATACTTCACAATTGGTTTCTATGTCGGTGGATTTTCTCTTGTTACTTGTAATTTAATTTTAGAAACATTAGAAGCTTTATATACCTTTCCCAGGTATACAGTGTGTACATAGCTTAATTGTTTTTTACATATGTAGAATAAGTATAATATAGTTTCTCTGAAGGTCAGTTACGAAATGTAAAAACTTATAGTTAGAAGCAAGTGGTTTTCTTGAAGAAATTTTCTATTTTTCCGCCTAACATTAGCCTGGGTAAAATTAATTAGAAAATAAAAAAATAGAAGTTACTACTATGTTTTGTAAAATAAAACATTAAATACTTAAAATTGGGTAAAGTAACTGAAGCATTTAATAGAAAAGCGCTGTAATTTTATATTCACATGTAAAAGGAGCAACAAATTATTTCTCACGTGATAGCTATGTATTCTGAATAAATGATATACAGCAAAGCTAACTGAAAACTTTCAAAATATCACAAACTTTTGTTTTCTCATTTGTGATTTGTGAGAAAATTTTGAATTAGCTTATTAGCCTAAACAAAATGTAATCAATCATTTCTAAGTAAATTTTAAGTTGAAGTTAAAACAATGCGCAATAAGAAAATCTATTATAAATTAAGCTGCAATGAATGCAGACTTTTCAATTCCATTTCAGCAATTCATAAATTATTCTTAATCTTTCCTGATCATTTTTAATCAGGAAAGATATCAATACATTTCCGAATAAATTTCAAGTAACACAGTCTAAAATGTTTCTTACCATGCCTAATTTACTTATGTTTCCAATATGTCCTTCTTCTTATCGAAGATCATTAGGGTTTTTGAAGAAATATGAAGTTTCCAAGGAAGGCAAGCATAAAATCAAAAATATGATATTTTTACTTGTTGTGATATGATAATAATGATGTGGTTCTTAATTACTTGCTGTTTTGATGATGATGCGTTTCTTAATTTGAGTACTTCTTATCGGTATAGAGAGTGTATTTAGCAAGTAAATAAATTAGAAGATACTCTGAAGCAGTGAACAAAAAAAAATTGTTTAGAGAGATAACTGCTTATAAAAAAAAGCACAGATGCTCCTATCAGTTATTGTACGATAACACCGTATCGAAGTTGTTTTTTTTTACTGTGACTTCATACTTGTAAGACAAACATCAACTTTTTGATATAATTGCACATTAAATAATGAATCGAGTCTTGGGTAAAAGTCGTAAGAGAATGTCCTACACTCGTCTACAAATGTTTTGGAGTTAATACGAATTGTCTCTTTTGTTTATTTCAAAATAATGTTACTGTAAACATTTTGTAGAGAGAGAAAAACAAGTTATGATGTTATAATATGTATTTGGATCCCAACTTTAAAAAATTATTTTCTTTTCGAACCCAAAATTTAAAGTTCTTTCCACTTTTCTAAACATACGTTAGAGAGAAAATACCATACTTTAGAATTTTTTGCTCGTAACAAATTTTTCTTTGAATCTTTGTTGAAACCGATTATTTTAATTATTTGTAGTCTTTATTAATTTACAGAATCTATACTCCTGCTTTTAAAAGGTTTGTTGAAAATGCTTATAGTTGAAATGTAAATACACATTTCAATATACATTCAATATAATGTATATTATTATACTCATATGACAACATCCATCGAAATAGGTATTGTTACGAAATGTACAGGCGCGGTAAGATGGCTTCCTCGCAAAGCAGTTTTAGGGTTGCCGTAAAATGGCAAGGGAAGGCAGTGTTGTCACATTTGCAAGAAATCGCCCATTTGGCGACAAAATTGGCGATATGCCACGGACGGATCGAGAACCTTCTGGAACGAATTCTTACCGATTTAGCCCAGAATGTTCTCGAACACAAGCCAAAAGCTATATAAACCCTGCTGGTCCGCAGTCAGTATGAGTGTGTGTGCCTCGTCTAGCGAGCTGATAGTCAGTCATTCAGCGAGTGTCTCGAAGTCTAGCGCCGAGTTGGTCGTCGAGTGCATCGAGAGAGTCTTTTAGTGCATCGTCGAGTTTTGTCTTAGACTGTGCTGAGTCGAGAGCTATACTCTTGTGTATCGTCGAGTGCATCGCGTGGTAAGTCTCGAGAGTACGTGGAGTTCCGAGAACGACCAAGCAGAGTTGGGAGCTGTACTCGAGTGCTTTGCAGTGAAGCTGTCTTCACCGTGATAGCCT